GCTGGAAGTTTGAGACCCCTGGTCTACAGGACCTTAGATTAAGATGATAAAATCACATCTTTAAAAAAATCGACACCCTCCCCCCCACTCCCCTGCCACCTCGGGCCCATTAATCCTAAGGTGGCCCTGACTGTCTGGATAACCAGAAGACCTGTTCAGCTTCTCCAGACACCAGAGTTTGAGGCTTCCCATCCAGCGCTCCAACCCACTCGCTTCTACACAGAACCCATCCCCCGGGTTTCTTACCATCAGCCATGCCCCTGAGCAACATCTGTCCTACACATGTCTGCTGCTAGTGGCCCTTCAGGGCCCTGGAAGTTAAGCATGGCCAGAGATGTGAACCTGCTCAGCTGAGGCTCTGGCAAACAGCCAGAAAGGGGAGCCAGCTGTGTCAGCCTCCCGTATCACTGGGGCTGCGTCTAGACTGGCAAGTTTTTCCGTAAAAGCAGCTGCTTTTGCGGAAAAACTTGCCAGCTGTCTACACTGGCCGCTTGAATTTCCTCAAGAACACTGACGATCTCATGTAAGATTGTCAGTGTTCTTGCGGAAATACTATGCTGCTCCCGTTTGGGCAAAAGACCTCTTGTGCAAATGCTTTTGCACAAGAGGGCCAGTGTAGACAACGCAGTATTGTTTTGCACAAAAAAGCCCCGATCGTGAACATGGCGATCGGGGCTTTCTTGCGCAAAACCGTGTCTAGATTGGCATGGACATTTTTCCGCAAAACGTGCTTTTGCGGAAAAGCGTCCGTGCCAATCTAGACGCTCTGTTCCGAAAATGCTTTTAACGGAAAACTTTTCCGCTAAAAGCATTTGCGGAAAATCATGCCAGTCCAGATGTAGCCTGGGTGTCTTTGGCACACGTGATACACCTGGCTATTGGAATGCGGAGTCTCTCCCACATCTTGGCGATGGACGTGGAGTAGGGTAAAGAAGGGTTGGATGGGGAGGAAGGATGCCCAGTTTGAAAGAATCCCCCTTTCCTTAACGCCACTACTCCCATCGCCAGAGACTTCGGGCTTCATTCTCCTGGGGCACGTCTACACTGCAGGGCAAAAGTTGAATTAAGCTACTCAACGTCAGCTATGTCAATTGCATAGCTGATGTGGAAATCGCTTCGTTCGGCTTTTGGCACTGTCCATACAGCAGGGAGTGGAAGGAACAGCACTCTTCCTCCGACTTCCCTGATTTCTCATAAAATGAGGGCGACAGGAGTCGGAGTAAGAAGCCCTCCAGCTGGAAATTATTTCAAAATAACGGCTTGTTGTGTAGACATACCCCTTGGGTCCTCATTTACACACCTGCAGACTAAACGGAGCATGATCTTAAATCCAAGCAGAGTCACTTTGCTTTGCACCTTGCATGGTCCTCTATACCAGGACGACGAGAAGCCAGGCCTTTCCTGTCTCAGTATAAACGTGGGTAGATCTGATAAAGGCAAGCAAGCAAAGAGAGACAGACAGACAGACATCTCTCTGGTTTATACTTTCCCCCCTTGTCCGTCTGCATGTAAGGTCTGTCCCTGGACAATGCATCCGTTATTCCTCAGCGAGAGTTAGGGGGACTCGGGGAAAATGCCCCTAGCAGGAATCGGGGCCCTTAAAAAGCAACAGGACACAAACCAACTGGCATGGGACTGTCTAGGCTCCGGTGGAGGGGATTTTCAGTGCACCGCTCGAATGTGAGAAAAGCCAGGCCCCCTCTTCCGGTGTCTCCTGCTTGCTGCACCACCGAACGCCCACACGCGGCAAAAGGCAGCGAGAGCTCGGAGCCTGCTGACTCACCAGGATATGTAATCTTGTCGGTCTCTCAGCAAAAGCTATTTTTGTCTCCCGAACGCACACAAGGCAACCGAGGGGAAGCCGCAGAGCCGTTTTTCATCCCCCTCCACCGACGGAAAAGCCTTGTTTCGGCCGAACGCGAGGTGGTGCGCCGCGGCCCTTCTTTCTTTGCTTTGATGGCTCCTAGAACTGGCTTTCTCCAGCATTAACTGACACCTACCCATGTGCCAACCTGAGGAAAACCAATTCAGCAAGGCTGGCTGAGATCCTACCGGAGCTGAAAGCCGCTTGAAGCCTGGCCAGCCAGCGTGGAGCATTCTCTTGTTATTTCTTAGGAGTGCGATTCATGAAGAGCAGGAAATGGACCGCCTGCCTTTCTTTTCATCAGGCCTGTGGGCTACTCTGCTATGGCTACTATGGAGGGCGAGGGAAACCAGCCTCGGAGAATACAACTTATTGGCCTGGTGGCCTTCATCCCCTTTGCATTACCTTGTGGGGAATTGTGTGTACCCCGATTTTATTCAGCGCCGAGCTCTACCAGCCACATAGAGTTTGTTTTAACGATGGGGTAGTTATTTTTCCCTGAAGAATTCATAATAATAATATTATTAATAACAATAATTTCCCACTCTTATACTTCCCTATCTATCCACGTTTCAGAATGCGTTAGTAAGAAAGACCAGTAGTATGGGTAGCCATGTTAGTCTGAATCTGCAAGAACAACGAGAAGTCCTGTGGCACCTTCTAGACTAACAGATTTATTGGAGCATAAGCTTTCGTGGGCAAAGACGAAGTGGGTCTTTGCCCACGAAAGCTTATGCTCCAATAAATCTGTTAGTCTAGAAGGTGCCACAGGACTTCTCGTTGTTCTTGCAGATTCAGACTAACATGGCTACCCTTCTGATATTTAAACTGAGGCACTGAGTGGTTAGGGGAGGTGCCCACGGCCACCCAGGAGGTCAGTGGCGGAGGCAGGAATCACGCTCATATGTCCTTATTTCTCCTTAAAATGCTTAGACTGAAACTTTCCCACCAGCTCTAGTTCGGCTCATAAATAAGCGCTCCCCTTCCACAGAGACTTGATGGCTGAGATGTGGAGAAGCAAGGAGCCTAAAAGATGTCTCTTTAAAAGAGACTCATGTAGTTAGAGTGACAGCTTGGGATACAGGAGACTTGAGCTCAAGGATAAACACATTAAAAACTTTCATGGGATGGAGGGGTGGGGAGCATAGCAGAATCTAAGCTATCCCGCTAGAGATCACGAGGTGAAGGTGTAATTTGATGGTAAAAATAGTCAAGTGAGTCTTAATGAAACATCTTTGCGGTTGCTGGCATGAAAGAGCTTTCATTGCTTGACAAAAACCATAAAATGTATAGCCCCTCCTCTTCCTTTTTCTAGACTAGCCCTGTGAAGGGAACCAACTGACCAAACGCCTTGACTCCAGAGTGCTTGCCTCATGAGGGCGGTGCGGTGAATCCAAAAAGTGAATTATAAACTACGCTGCAGGGAGCAGCCAAGCCACCCTTCTCGAGGTCTTGATTTCAGGGTTGTTTGGGAAATATCTGGAATCATTTGGCCTGGGTTGGTGTGGGGAGAGAGAACCTTTTTGTTTGGCCTAAGATTTTGTGCCCTCTTCACGACTCAAGGGCCTTTCAAAGTTCCAAACACGGGAAGAAAGGATACAATTCATTTCACACAGTGGCTGCAGTGACAAAAGACAGCGGGCCTGTGACAAACGCGACTGGCTGACGACGTTTCTAGAGCTCCAGGAAGTACCAGACAGTAGGGACAAACTGGCCATCATTGTCAGATGCCTGTCTTCGTGATCATGCTCTCGACAAACTCCGTGGTGACAATCCCATTCCGGTCAACACCAGCAGAGCTAGGAGCTCTAGGTCACAGCCTCTGGATTTTATAGGTGGTACGGAGGGCACATTCATATTTTGCAGGGAAACCCTATTTCTCCCTCAGATAAGCAGTTCTGGGGCAAGGAACGAACAGAAATGATACCGAACTGGGAGGGATTGCAAGTGCTTTGGAGGGTAGCATCATCATTCAAAATGATCTGGACCAACTGGAGAAATGGTCTGAGGTAAATAGCAGGAAATTTAAAAAGGACAAATGCAAAGTGCTCCATTTAAGAAGGAACGGTCAGTTACACACATACAAAATAGGAAGCGACTGTCTAGGAAGGAGCACTGCAGAGAGGAATCTAGGGGTCATAGTGGACCACAAGCTAAATTGAGTCAACAGGGTGACACTGTTGCAAAAACAAGCAAACATAATTTCTGGGCTGCATTAACAGGAGTGTTGTGAGCAAGACACAAGGGCTGCGTCTAGACTGGCAAGTTTTTCCGGAAAATCAGCTGCTTTTGCGGAAAAACTTGCCAGCTGTCTACACTGGCCCCTTGAATTTCCAGAAAAGCACTGACGATCTCATGTAAGAAATCAGCCGCTTTTCCGGAATAACTTGCCAGCTGTCTACACTGGCCCCTTGAATTTCCGGAAAAGCACTGATGATCTACTGTAAGAAATCAGT